GCCCGCGGGGGCGGACCCATCCCCGGGGAGGCCGCGCAGCTCTCTCCGCGCAGCTCCGCGGCTCCGGAGCCGGGGGCTCGTCACGGGCATCGGCCGCTTCTGGAGGCTCATCCCCGGCTCTCTGTGTTTACAGGAAGTGAACGGCTTCTGATGCGAGCAGCACGATGAAATTCGGTTGCCTTTCCTTCCGACAGCCCTACGCAGGATTGCTTCTAAACCAAGTCAAAACAGTGGAGACTCGCTGGCGTCCTTTGCTAGCAGGCTACAAGAACTGCACCATTGCTATTCATATAGCTATTAAGGACTGGGAGGATGAGACATGGAGAGAAATTCTTCTGAATAGGCTCGGCATGACACCAAAACAACTGCAAGGTTTGTTGGATGAAGGGGAAAAATTTGGCAGAGGAGTTATTGCAGGTAAGATCCTTGGTTTATTTCCGAGGTAACTTTCAGTCCTTTACCTTTCGCATAAATACATGTCTGCTTTACATGTTTGTACTCAGGACATTTYTTTGACAGAATGAATGAATGTGAAAGAATGGAGCGTGAGTTGTGATGGGTGTCTATTTCAATTCCTGTATGTTTCAGCATAACACATGTTAGTTGCACATTTATTGCATTTTGAGCTGAGGAGCTCTTGCTGAAACCTTYCTGAAGCACTCATAGTCWAACAYACCCACGATGCTGCAGCACTTTGCATGACATTTTAGAATATACATAAATAATTACATGAATAAATCCTATTTCAGTTKTACAAACCCTCTGTCACTTTTGGTATTTGGGTAACGAAGAAGTTTGTTTCTGTTGCACACAGAACAGAGGCAGTGATGGTTCATTGCATAAATTGTGATGGCATACAGTGGATATTGCACACTGTGCACTTAGAARGTTTTTATCCAGCACWCACTTTGCACTATTTCCTCGTATCTYTGTTACACCATCTTTATCATTTGAATACTATGAGCTATTGCTGCACAACAAATTAATTCTATCACATATACTGGATATTGTTGTGGTTCTACAGTGCTGAAACTGCAGTCCTATATATGTAGATTTGCAGCTTTGACATAAATTGCATAATTGGGGAGTAGGTATCAAAGCTTATTTGACAATTATTTTAAGTTTTTTGATGATGAAGTAATACAGAATTTCCCTTTCATGACACTAAGAGGCTTACAGAGAGCAAGAATTTCTGTATAGTTTAATGATTTTAAAATGATAATAGAATAGTGGCTTGAGAGTAGCAGAGTTTTATGCTTTAATGAAGCTGTTCCAAGGCCAAATGCAGCTSAGGAGTTTTGGTAGCAGCTGTGCTTAGCTACAGGCTGCTTTTCACAGAACTCTACATTGCTGGGTTGTGGTGATTTTAGCTGTATGCTCCTCCCTTTCTTCACCCGAGTCTGCACATGGACTTCTGCCGCAAACAGGACTGATGGGAAATGTCCATCCCCAGTAACCAAGTGGTTGCTCTGTATGTCCTCAGGGAGGGTTACTTCTGGAAAAGTTTTCTCTAAGGAGATCAAATGGGCAACTAATTTTTTATTTTAATTTTAAAATACAGGATTAATTGACGTTGGAGAAACATCATTATATCCAGAAAACCTGCCTCCTGAAGAGATTCTGGAGCTGGAAAACAAAGCAGTCCTCAGCAATCTGGAACAGAAATACTTGACTGTTGTTTCAAATCCCAGATGGCTCCTGGAACCAATTCCTGCCAGAGGGAGAACTGGGGTGTGGCAGGTGGACATCCCTGAAGAACTGATCCCTTCAGAACTGTAGATGTTGCCCCTTACTCTCATTTTTCCTGCCTAAATGCAGACTTGCATTCAAGATGCTGACTTGTGAATTACATCCACATTTTGTTTAGTATTCCCTTCCAAAACTGTMTGAAATGGCAAATGCATTGAAGAGCTGCTCTTTTGAGGCAAAACAAACACAGTGTGTTTTTATGGCTATTACAAGACATTATTAATGTTTTTCTAGATTTTTCCTATATAAACAACTAAGTTTAAATGCCTGGCTATGGATTGTGTGCCAATTTCAATGTAAATAAACTGTTTTTTTTTATATCTGCATCTCTGATTATCGGAAAACGGTGCTTAAAAGCGGGTCACAATTAACGGTGCTTAAAAGCGGGGCACATCTTTCCCACTCCTAATCCTGCCTTAAGGATAGATTGTTTTCATTCACATTTCAGGTACACAAGATGTGCATATGATGGATATGGCTCTGTGACCTGACAGACACTGCAGAAAGGCCATTATGAGAAGGTGCTTGTACAAAATGAAATTGAACAAGTATTAACATTTTTGTTACTTCTTTTTTCTCTTATTGAAGATAAAAAGATACCAGTTATCTTTGAAAATCTAATACTGAATTCAAGACAAGTGTGAAGAATTACAAATAATAGCCACTAATTTTTGGCACTCTTAAAGAGTTTTCCAAATTCACGCCTTCCATTACAGTGAAAATTCTTTTGATTTTCTGGAGCAAGGCCACACCTAGGCATGGCTCTAATGCCTAGGTTTCTCATGCAAGCTCAGCCTCCGGTTTTCTTTTCCATGGCAGTGTGCAGGCAAATTGATGTCCAATAACAATCCTGCTGGTGTTTGATTCTTTGCACCAGAATATAATAATATATATATAACTAAAATACATACATAAAATCTRTAAAACTGCAACAAAATTTAAAGTGTGGGATGGGATAGTGATGGGTTGGGTTTTGAGCAGTAGATGGTCCATAGGCAAGAAAAGGGAGCTCTGGCACATGAGGAATGGAAGTGCCACATCCAAATTTTCCAGGCATACACCTTGAACACATGCAGAAATGTCCACACTCTCCTTCCTCTTACTGCCATGCTAACACTAAAGAAACGAGACCCATGGCTTTTAAGTTATCTAAACTGTGGTTTACCTAAACATGAAGAGCAGCTGCAGGGGTTTGGGAATATGAGACATCTGTTTTTATAAACAACAGACTCCATTTCTCCAAAGCACCAGCACGTCCAAGACCCACTGTCAAAGCAGGTCTTTCTTCAGAYGAGAAAATGCTATGCCAACACCAATGAGATCCTATCTTGAAAAGTTTAATCATTTACACCAACCAACACAAAGTTGGTAATGAAGACCAAGCTATGATATTGATAGCAGCTAACCAACAGCTGTGAAACCTACAACAGATGTTTCTGGCATAGACCACACAATGCAAGGGGGAACAGCTTATTAAACAGCCAGTCTAATGGGAGAATGGTACATGCTGCTCAAGAAGAAYCAAAACATGGAACCGGCAAAGCAACAAAAACAACATGTAACTCCCAAGCCAGCACAAAAGTTGAAATTCTTACATGGAAATTTACACAGCTAACTCAAAAGCAACATGTAAGTCACCATACATTCTATTTCCCCCCGAGAAAGCTTTCCAGTGTTGCTTGAGAAGTGCAACACTTGTGCCCCTGTGGTTGAGACAATGATTGTGGCTGAACAGGAAAAGAAGTCAAGAGGTACTATGCTAAGGCATGCCAAAGCATTTAAAAGAGACACACAAATCAAGTGTATATTTAGGACCTAAAGGACACCTGGAATAGCATAGGCATTTCATACAGGGTTTTTAAAAAAATACTTTTAGATAATACTTATACTGTACACAACAGGACTTTTAAACAATATATTACACTGCTAAAAATGTTCATATAAATACTATACAGGCAAGCGTGCAACCAACCCATTAGGAAGGTTGACAAATTAGACAACCACATATTTCTGGAAAAGCTCTCAGATTATCTTCAAGATTTCTGATTTGTGTAATCCAAGCCACTGATTCGGCAATACCTATTTTAAAGGAATTGGGACAAGGCATGAGATGAAATACATTTGTCTGCTGATGACCAGTTCAAGTTTAATACGCTACTGTCATCTTAATCTGGCATATCAATGTTTAACTTAGGAGGTGGAATCACGTATTTTCCAGGACTCTGTGTAATGACCACTCCAGTCTTTTTTCGAAACATTGGTGCAATTTTTGGTGGTTCAGGCAGTGGTGTTTCTTCTGTCTCCTCATTATCTTCATGATGAAGATCATAAGAGATATTTCCATATTCTCGTAAGAATGGGAAAATTTCAAGCAGGAACTGGCAAAAGTCCTTGCGAATTCCAAACCACCCTAMAAGAAAACCAATCATTTTACATTATTAGCACAACGAACACTTTAGTAGACAGACTATTTAAGGTCTCTTGACTGTTTGCATATAAATAATATAAGATTTGTTAGTGSTGTTTCTCAGTGTTCCTTATGCCTATCATAACAATTCAGGTTATATACACACAGATACACATACGGTGTCTGGACATGCACAGTTCCATGTCTGCACACACATGCTTCTGTGTATATCCATCTGTATAAATTACAGCTACACTATYCCAGCAAGAATCCATTTAATTTTACATGTTATACAGTGTCAGATCACATCACTACAGAGAAGGCACACAAGACTTTGCATCTCAACCAAAGCAAACAGTGCTAGGGGAGGACACTGTAAGCATTGAAACTTTACTACAACTACTTGATAATAACAGAAAAGCCCTTTATGAAAATACAAATATTAATAAAATACATTGTTTTCTACTCTGTTTCCAGGATTCTGAAATACTTACAGTGATTGCCTCCTTTTTGTCCAAATGTTGTTGCCATTAATGTTATCAGTGAAAGCCAGAGAGGAACAAATATGGGTATGAAAGAAAAAGAATTATGCCCATCTAGTCTGTGTACTAGCAAGATCTAAATGACAAAAAAAAAACACAACAATGTCAGTTTAATGGCAATACTCCCTTTCAAACTGCTTAAAGCATATGCTGATCTCAAATCTCTTACTTTACCTATCTGTGAGGCAAAAATGGCCTTCACAGAAGCAYGTATTTATAGTTCCAATGTGATGCAGATTTTTCTCAAGAACCTTTAAAGGAACATGGAATTCTTGTTTGTCTTTTGTATTTGCTGTTAAGATTCTACAACAAAGAGCAATATTCTCATTTCACCAGGTTTAAAAGTCAGCATTCATTACTTACTGAAAAAAGAACAAGACACATCAAACTCATTATGGCTTTTCCTACCTCGAAGGTGAGCAGTGGCACCACAATTGTCATCCAGCTGACAGCCATGGTTATGTGTGTCCTCCTTTGCTCAGCGATCACGTCCATGGAGCGCAGGAACAGGACGGACCACACGATGTAATAGAGCACAACAAGGCACAGGAAGGACATCAAGATCCACAGRGGAACACAAACAACCTGAAAGTAATACACATTTTTTCATTTGTTTTGGTTATGGGGTTTTTTTAAAATAAAGTGAGTCTACATATTAAGTCTAAACAAGAAAATTAAATCTTTAACTAACATAATGTCTAACAGAAAAACATCTAATTCAKGTGCGTTGTTTCAAGCTATATCAGCTCTCAGGGTTCCTCAGCTTTCTAAACCCCACCAGGCTGAAACAATTTAAAATTATGTCAATGTAGTTCAACTTTAGTAAGACTTCTGTGATTTGCTTGAGCTCAAACTGTACTTGAAATTTTTTTTAACAAGTACTTCTAACAAGTACTGGACACCTTACTTTGGAGTTTCAATCCTTTCTCAAGTTTTTTTTTACTATAGAAAGGACAGACATAACCATGCCAATCTGTCAGTTTGATGGTAGTTTACAAAAACCCAGACACAGAAACAGCTATTGTATTCTAAAGGCACTTGGGTGGGACATCTCAGCAGTTTTAACAGTGACTACTTGCACAGTAAGTGGATTTACATGCATGGTAACACAACAAATAAAACTAGTTATTTACCATACTGTATTTACCAATGCATTCTCTAACTCACCAATCATTTTCATGGCTCGTTTAGTGTTCCYGTTGGAACTTTGGGTTAGGATTTCTCTTTCAACTGCTGTTCAGAGATTAACTGCAGTTGATGGCACATTCCTCCCCCTGAGAGGATGAAGTGCCCAAAGAACAGCCAGATTTCCATGACCACTGAATGAAATGCCAGACCTTCAGTGAAGGATTGCTAAGCGAGCAAAAATGGAATCATGGACTGATSACATATTAACTGTTCCCTAGAATAAATATCTTCATGAAATTCAGCATTTAAACAAAGAAGAAAACACTTGTTACGTACAAGCCAGGGCCATCTGATGATCTCATCTARTCTGAGAGCAATAAATATGAACTGTAGAATATTGACCGAACACAAGATTTCCAGCTAGAAAAAGGAAAAAACATTAGTTATCTTACTAAGAGTTAAACTTATTTCCAGGATAATCAATGAATCTGTCAAAACACTTCTCTGACACCATGCTTATCATTGAAATATGAAAATTCTTTTGCATTTATATTTTTTATTATTGAACATCCCAAAATTTGTGTGGGTGTGATCCCAACTGAGTAATACAGAGTCAGCTAGACTCTAGGAAGGTTTCCAAGACCTTCCAGCTATTTAAAAAGAAAAAAAAAGGAAAAAGGCATTTACAGTGATTAGAGAAATACGAAAAGCCAAAGTAATCAGAATGAAAAAAGCAMAGCATCAGAAAACAACTATGCTCTTCATGTAAGAAATACTGCTAGGATTAAATTAAGCAGTAAAAAGACCTTCAACTTTAAATTAGCAAAACGAATCTTCTGGAATATTTAGTAGTTTCAGTAATGGACAGAGCTACCAGTAGTCCAATTTTAAAATCCAAGCTCCATCAAGAGGGAAAAAGAAAAACATAAAATATTGGAAGATGATATCTGAATTCGAATAATTTACTGTGTAATTAAGAGATATTTTAAATGACACTGAAGACATGGGTTCTGCAGAAATGGAGAAAAGCAATWCTWCTCATTAAAATCTTAATGAAAGGTTTTCATGAGTCCTGCTTCCCACTATGAGAAACAGCCTTTCATTATACTTTAAAAAGTCTGTGTCTAGCTGGAACAAAGTGAAACAATAAAACACCACCAGACTTGGCAAGATTCTATTCGTAAAGTTTATGGGCAGCCCTACAGGGTTAGGATTTCCAAAGACCACAGAATTATTATCTAAAGTCTAACTGAAGCCCTTGAATGGAAGTCAGAAAT